TTTGAGCGTTTAAAAATTTGTCCGCTAAGTTTTGCGCGTTAGTGTACATTGCACGATTCCGAGATTTCCGAGGGACTACGCCGTAGCTTCCCATTGGTCTCGAATTAATATGCCTACACGAAGAATACCGGGTGCGCACACCCGACTCCAAATAAGGAAATTTAGAACGGAAACATAACAATTTATTGTTTTTTCTTGTTAATTTTGTAACTTATATAAATAACGAATTTTTTTTATACTGCATCTATTGTAGAGATTTCTAAGAATATGTAGAATGTCATTCTTTTTAAAAAAGAAGTTGTAAGGGATGTAGGTTCGCAGGAAGGAATTTGGAAACAAGTTCTAAGGGAAAAAGGAAATGGTTTATTTATTAACCAATTGTACATATTGCTTTCCTGGGAGAGGAATAGGAATTACAGGTTTGTTCGGAAAACAAAGCTTTCGGCTCAATTTTACAATAACAGAAATTTACGATAACAGAAAATTATATCGCGTCGAGACGTCCGGGTGACTCTACCGTCCATTCCCTGGAAGTCGACCGGCGGTAAATCCAGCCGTTCTCTCCGTTCCAGGGCGGCCAGGCAAGAGCTTCCATACTCTCCTCTTTTACAGACGACCGGCGGTAAATCCAGCCGTTCTCTCCCGATTCTCGAATAATCAGAAAACGATCCCCACCCTCCTTCCTCCGAGAGGCGACCGGTGATAAATCCGACCGTTCTCTCCATCTCAGAGGGGAAGGGCAGAAACGCTCCCTGAGCACTCTCAGGCGTCCGGGTGACTCCACTGTCCTCTCCCTGGAAGGCGACCGGCGGTAGATCCTGCCGTTCTCTCCGTCCCGGGGCGGCCAGGAAGAGCCCCCGTACTCTCCCGTTAATCAGGCGACCGGCGGTAATTCCAGCCGTTCTCTCCTGAGCTGCTAAAGGCGTCCGAAAGCTAGACTTCGTACTCTCCTTACTCATTAGGCGACCGTGGTAATTACCTCGTTCTCTCCTATGAGTGCAGCAAAGAATGCCCCGTCCGCTACCGCGAGAGCGATTCTTATACCTGATCGTTGCTAACAGACCGCGGTCAATCAACAAGCCGTGTTACTATGCGGGCGCGTTCGCGAGCGTTCACGAACGTTCCCCGCTCGCCCGACCCCGCGCGCCTACCGATGGTCGAGAAATTTTGATCCCGATTTTCTGGTATTGTTACAAAGTTAATAAATTACAATTGAACGTAGTTTTTTTTTTAATTGACCAGTGTACGAATACTTACTACACCCACTGTATCTATCATTTCGATTCATGATCGAAGCGTTAAAGTCGGCGTTAAATTCAACATTGCGTTAACGAAGATATGTCATTCCATTTAGAAAACATCGATGACCTTGAAATCTCATTAAAAAAAATGACCTTGAAAATTTTTTCCCTTGCACCGTTACATGTGGCCCTACAAACAGTGTAACTTTGTTCTAAGAAGTTTTTTTCTACAACGAAAAGTTACGGAGATATTTACGTGTCCTTTTTCTACAGACTCACCCTGTTATGTCCCACTAGGATCGAAAGAATTAAGTTTACCGCGTCTGTGATTTTATATGAAAACGGATTATGCATTGGGTGGAGCGAGCAACCTAATCCCCTTGGCCCCTGTTTTGCTTAGTTTGGTGATACCATGATAATTTACGATCTCTGAATAGTATTTGCAATTAGTCGCACTCTAAATCGGAATCCTCAAGCGTACTTTTCTGGAGAGACCAATCAGAGTGCCATCCATGATAGTTACAGCGACACCGTCGTTGCTAAGGGTTGAAATCGCCACAGCCGGTGACGGTAACTTTTCCCAAAGTTTCACGGGACTTCCTCTTCTTATCGCACCTATTTTACCATCCCTGCCGATTATCAATATCCTTCCATCTCCGGTCCACAGACCTGTACACGCGAACGCAACTGGTGGCCATTCTAACAAGTGTTTGTCCATTACAGAAAACGTCCTGCGTCAGAAACGTACAAATATAATCGATGCAACTAACAGAAAGTCTGGTAGATGTATACTCTTCTTGTATCATTGTAAAAATATCATTCATCATGTAATAAAAATAAATGCTCTCATTCCTAAGTTTTAGTCGAATGAGTGGTTTTGTGACATAAAGAATGTATGCATTTGTATTGCATTATTTAGAATGCATAATATGCTAAATTTTATTTATTTATTCCAGTGCTGGAACTTTTAAATATCTGATTTGGTCGACAAATTAAATCAATAAAATAATGATAGTAAACATAAGAAAAATGTTTGTTTATACGTTCCTGGCATAGAAGAGACTTTCCAAATATTTGTAAATCACTAATTTAGTTGAATCAGTAATATCAGCTCAGTTTATAATTAAGAAATGTTATATTATAAAAATGACATTGTTGGTGAGTGTGGGTGGGTTAGAGGTGAGACCAATAAATTCCAAGGTAAAGGAATAAGAACCATTCTAATGTCAATGTTGTATGAATGAATCGTTACCGAGAATCTAGAACAAGAACTTCTCCAGATTCCGTGCCAAGCACCAGACAACCACTGGCTGGTTCGGTCCATGAATCTCTCCGTATGACAGAAATAGCGGACAAAGCGTTGCTCCTAACAAGCGGAAGCGTTTTGTATTGTTCCGCGAAACTAAATCTCAAATTCGGATCCATGGAGAGGAATTTTAACGTTCGCGGCGAGATAAATGCCGCTCCAAGCTCTTTTAAGAGCAAATCTAGTTCGTCGGCTAGCGTAAGCACGTTTAGCTCTTCCTCCGAACTGGCTTTGTGCCAGATCTGCGAAAAATATTTAATGATTATGAAATTATCGATTGTAATCGAAAAAGTAATTATCAGTTTGGAAGATTGATGCATAGAATGGTATCATGGATGATACCATGATACCAATCAAAAGGTTTAAGTCCCCACAACTACTATTCTGTCATGCATATTTAGTCGTTAAAAAACAAAATTCTAAGTCTCCTTTTAGAAAAACTTTATATTAGGTTGTCCTAAAAGTCTCTTTCGTGAGTTGTATTCACGTATTTTCTGTGGCAGTGTTTATATAAATAGACAATTTACTATTTGTATGTAACAGTAATGGAGCGAAATAAATTGCAGACGATTTTGTAATATAACATAAAATATAAAATATTGTGTAGGAATTAATTATTAATAAAACGAAAGAAACTTTTGGGACAACCTAATAAATACATATCTGTCTTGTTCGCACCTAGAGGAATTGTGCCTGAATGAATAAGACTTGGCTTTTCTTTAGGGGCAGTCTTTTAACGCGACATTATTACCTCTCGTTCCTTCGGATGTACGTCAATGGTTGGCAAACAGTACTTAAAGTAGGGTCTCATATTTTTGAAGATATAGACGCTAGAACTGGCACCCACAGCTAGTACAGACGATCGCGGTTCTCCGTTCTCCGTGTAAAAACCAACTACTCCGCAAGGCAGATCCATCATACTATGTTCCGTTATTTGATCACCACCTTTGTAGACTCGTATCTGATTTTCAAAATATATACAGTGGGTGTAGAATGTATTCGTACACCGATCAATTTCCCAAAAAACATTTGTGTGAAATTGTAGTTTCTTAACTTCTTTTTTTATAATCAATGATATTTTACATATTCTCGGAAGTCTTTAAGGTAGATACCCAGATAGCTTCGGACGTACCATGGACGTCCATTTTATGTCCAGTTTACATCCAAACGTCCGACATCCGTTGTCGGACGTCCTTAGGACGTTCATGGGACGTAAATTTTGTACGTCCCAGGGACGTCCGCCCGGAACGTCCTACGAACGTCCATAGGACCTAAATTTTGTACGTCCCAGGGATGTCCGCTCTGAACTTTCTAGGTTTAGGGAAAAATACTTTTTTTTAAACAAAATAAATATTATTTATTAATATTATTTACATTAAATATTATTTATAATATAATATTTATTCAATATGTAGAACAGTATATTTTTTTCCAAATATAAAATACACTATTTAAAATTGTAAATTAATATTAATTAATATTATTATCCCAGATAGCACCGGACGTCCCATGGACGTACAGACAATGTACAGAAAACGTTCTGGGAATGTCCAGCGCCGGACGTTCCATGGACGTACATAAGACGTTCCTGTTCCTGTGCTATCTGGGTATACAATCATTATTTAATATTCGCAACAGAATATTTTTTTCCGTAGATAAAACACATATTTATCTGATATTCGCAACAGAATATATGTTTGCACATGTAAAACAAAATGTTTTTTCAATATTAGGAATACAATATTTTTTGTACATATGAGATGTGACATGTATGTAATATTTGGAACTATTCAGAATGATCTAGTAAATTAATTCTTCCAACTTTTCAAAAAAAAAGTTCAAGTCATTTAGACCAATTTCAAAAGAAGGAATTGTATTTTAAAAAGTATCCGAATATTAATGCGAGTCACTATATGAGCCTAAAATATGAGTCGGTTTAGCAAAGTCGTTTATGGGTAAGTGAGAAAGCAGGTTACAGTTGCAGTTCGAAAATCGTGAGTTCGAATCCCGCCGGAGGTAAATAAAAATTGAAAGATTTGTTCGTCGTAGTTTTTCATGGAATCCAGTTACAAAAAATAAATACAGTTAACTAAAATCTACCAACAAATAAAAGAAAATATATAAAATTAAAATTTAATTTTTCTTTAAATCTCAATTTTACAGAGAACGTTCTGGGAATGTCCACATCGGACGTCCGCAGGGACGTCCTGCGATGTAACTGGCACGTTCCAGGGACGTTCACAGGACGTTCACAGGACGTTCAGGGGACGTTTAGACGTTATCTGGACGTCCATAGGACGTCCCGAACGTCCAGTACCGGACGTCTTATGGACGTACATAAGACGTCCCTGTGCTATCTGGGTATAGTCCAAACAACATTTACTAGTTAATATAATTTATGAAATTAACAAAAAAAAATGCGAAAAGTGGGTAAAAGTATAGAAGCAAGAAGTATTTGTACGATTCTTATGACGAGCCATTTACAGTAGAGTTTGTAACGTAAACACATTAATTTATTGCTCCGTACGAATTAGAAACCATCAAATTTTCGGTAAAGTACTTTTAAAAATGGCTCTAATAGAGGAATTGAAGAATATCCCACTTCGAATAAGTAATAATTTAGTTAATTTAACGCTTAGAAGAGTTAAAATAATTATAAAATCAAAAGGAAATCCCACGAAGGAAGTATTATATACTCGTAGATTAATGTACATTTCTTTTTTTTTAATGAAGTTTTAAACATTAAACAGTTGTGCGAATACTTATTGCTTCAATATTTCTATCGATTAATTGTTTTTTTCTTGTTAATTTCGCAACATAGATAAATAGCTATTTTTTTATAATCTATCTATTCTAGAGATTTCCGAGAATATGTAGAATGTCATTGTTTATACAAATTAAGTTAATAAATTACAATTTTACACAGTTTTTTGGAAATTGATCGGTGTACGAATACTTTCTACACCCACTGTAGAGGAAAAAAATGAAAGTGATTTACAGAGTGATCCACAGATTCTCACAATATCTTAATTGTTTAATTTATCAACTTCTATAAATGAGGTGAATACAATGACTTCCAATTTAAAGCGTACATTTTCATCCAAACTAAAAATCAGGAAATTATATTATTTAAAAGCATGATATAAAATATTAATTTTTTAATGAAAAAAAATTTTAAATGACATTGAAAGCCCACTTTAGTTATGACTAATTTTTGCTCATAAAAATCGTTTAAATAAAAAAGATTCTCTATGATTTTTGCATTTTTTTGTTCATCGTGAAACGTTTCAAGATAGTCTTAGTCTTATTTATCAAATGAGTTTTATCTCAGTAACGGTGTGGTCAATAATCATTATTTTGGTTTTAAATGATTTATATACATAGTATACATATGTAGTATACGTATTATACGTATACGTAGTGTAGTATACTATGTGTAATACGTATACGTAGTGTAGTATACTATGTGTAATACGTATACGTAGTGTAGTATACTATGTGTAATACGTATACGTAGTGTAGTATACTACGTGTAATACGTATACGTAGTGTAGTATACTATGTGTAATACGTATACGTAGTGTAGTATACGTATTTCGATTTAAATTGAAAAAATTCACGTGAAAATTTGTATATTCCATAAGGGTTAGTGTGAAGAAGTCCAAAATTTTCATATCGTTTTTCATAAAACTGGGATGATAATTTAAATCGAAATAGGCTCAATGATTTGTATTTAATCAAAGAACAATCACGCAAAGTTTTGTTAAAATCCTCCATTAAATAAATCCATGGTACAACTACCTTAAAAGCAAATATTTCCCAAAAAGTTCACAATTAAACAAAATCGTGCTTTTTAGATTTCATATCAAAACAATTGATCGTTTGCTAAAAATAAATGAAAACTGAAGCAATTAATACGTTATTTAAGCGGTTTTAATATTTCAACCAACTTTTAAAATATAAAACATTCAAATCAGTGTTATTATCTTTGAAATGTAGTTTAGCTTTATAAGTGCTTGACACATATATGCATTTATCAATCTTCTCGATCTCCTGCTTGAGACATAATTACCAGCGTTTAACATAGTTTTTGTTATATTTATTGGGTTCAGATATTTAGATTCACTAATTTTGAAGTTAAATTATGACTTGCATTTTAAAGATTTTATAAAATAATTAAGTAAGAAAGAATTTTGTTCTTAACGACAACCGCAATGTAGGCATGATTGTTTTAATCAAGAGTATTCAAGACCAAAATAGTTAAAAGTGAAAAAACACACGTTTTAAAGGGGTAAAACGTTAAATGAGGGACCGTTAAAATTAAAAGAACTTTTACAATTTTCTAAGTAATTGCAAGCTATCAGGTGTTGGTACCTTTGTCGAATTGGCACCCTGTGCTCCCAAATCGGCGCAGATGAGCCTAGCATCTCCATCGCCAGTTACATCTAGCATGTCAAGTGCGTTTGGTAAGGTATACAATCGGGCTCCTGGTTCCCAAAGCGCCTCTAACCACCGACTGGTACTGAGACCAACAATATTATGTTCGGCTCTAAAGGAGTGCATCAAATAGTACCAAACTTTAGAATTTTTATTTTTAAATCATTTCCTTAACCATTTACCAATTTTTGTTTTTAAAGAAATCTTAAATTAACGAAATTTACTTAATTTAAGATTCACGTATACCCAGAGGTGGGTAATATTTGTAGAATAAATATTTTAAATACTATTTCAAATAATAGATTCTTCATAATTCAAATAAAATAGTATTTCAAATGGGATATAAAATTTCAACAAATAAAACATTTTATTTTGATAATGTAAAACGTAAAATAAAATAGTTTATTTTGGTAATCTATAGTTAAAACATGAAAATAAATATTTTATTTTGATAATCTAACACATCAAATAAAATATATTTCATTTTAATAACATAAAGCATAAAATAGAATACTTTCCATAGTTCTTAATTTGAAAATAAACTGTGTATGTATGATACACAGATGGAGAAACTATTTCTTGCAAATATTATGATTTCTTGCGATTGAAGAATATCTCTTTCCATCATTCATTTTATGAAGATTCTTAATAGAAGTATTCATTGAAGAACTACATTGAATGTATGTTTATAATGCAGAGGAAAAGTACTTCGTTCGTTTTAGATTACTAAAATAAATATATTTTTTATTCAACTTCGAAAAAGGAGGAGTTACTCAATTCGATATATATATATATATTTTTTTTACAGTATAATTTAGTAAAATAAAATATTCCGAACGATGGTACAAATATTTCCAGTGTTTTTCAAATAAAATATTATTAGAAATATTATCTTAAAAATTTCTTATGACAAATAAAATATTTATTTACTATTTACTATTTAAAATACGTATTTTACCCAGCTCTGCGTATACTTTTGAAATTTATCACGTTTATTTATACATGTATGTACAATAAGATTCTGTTACACAAGACCGGCGCAAGGCAGGTTCAGCACGTTCGCCGGAACCCGGCCACGCGTTTTAAAAGGCCCCGCGGTCTACGAAAATTACTCAATTAAAAGGCACCAATTTTGATTAACTTTTTACAGACTGATGATACCATTAACAAATGGAAGCAATTTTTGCTGAGATGCAAGACATTTTTTTAGTAGCGATGATTAAATTGAAAGGAGTGACAAAAATCATCAAAGTATTATTATTTAATATTCATCTTATAAAAAATATATAGCATTTGTAAATAAATAATTGTTCGTTGTAAAATTTAAGTGTAGGATTTGAATGTAAATTCAGGCCCCGCAAAATTTTTGAACCAGGCCCCGCAAAAGGTCACGGCGGCCCTGCTGTTACATTTACGATTATCTTGCTCAATTTGTTTCAAAGTTACGAACAATATTCTACGTCGCGTCAAGCGAAACGAGGTCAAAATATTATTGCTCTGTATGTCCGAACTAATGAAAGCTGATTTTGTTCTATTTATTACGAGATTGGTTATAGCATAAACAAGGGAGAGGAGTATTACAGAAAATGTACAATATGGCCGGCACTTTGAACTTAAGTCTTCAATTTTCTCCCAAAATATATATTTTTGGTAGCCTCAAAAAAATAGTAATTTTTATAATATCAAAAATATTCTAGATCACATTACAGTTAAGAATATATTTTATACATCATATTAAATTATCTAAATGCTATGGAGAGTTTTTATTTTTGTTAACGTAGTTTCTTTTTACTCGTGAAAAATATGGTTCCGTCAGTACTAAAATGTGTTTGACTCGTTGCTATGTTGCGCAAAATTATTGTTTCAAAAATGCGGCTCTACAGCACTTATATAAGATATAATTTAATATATTATTATAAAATGCTTGACTTTTTAATTTCGGATACCCCAGCTTTGAGGTAGAGTGGCCACCGCGAAATACTCATGTAAATGATTGGTAATAACGCTGCAACTTTGTTAATTTAAGGTATTTATAAGTATAAAAATTGCAACACATACACTAAGAAACGTTCTTTTGAATATCTTTACAGAAATTACTAGATAATTTTTCGTTTGTCTAAAAAAAATTTTCAAATACGCGCCAATTTTCCAGACCGTTCTAAGTAGCCTTCCGACCGTAATAATTGACTATTTTATTTCGGTAAACAGATTGATTCAATAAGTGATATCACAGAATTTACAAGTATAAAAATAGAAAAGAAATTCCTTTCAAGATCGTTAATATATGGATTTTACTTCAGATAATATACTAGTTCTTAGCGCAATGATATAGCTCGTAAAATAACAAATTCAAGAACACATGCTAAGGTGACCTTCGTATGACCTTAAATAACGAAAATAGCGTTTATTTTGGAGAAATAGAACTGTATAAAATTCCACGTGACTCGGTATAAATATGTATCTATATTATTTCAGAAGATATTGAAAATGACCTCTGTCAAGTTTAGTACATTTTTCAATACATTGCATGAATAGTATTTATGCTTGTAAATTTCTCAACACCATTTTTTGATCACTTTGTATCATTCCTCCTGAAATCCAGCACTGAGAAGAATTGTTAATAAGGAGAGTTCTCCTTTTTATTATCACATGAATCACTACTTTTATTATTTTAATTTCTTTTTTCAGGAACAATGTTGTTTTTCTATTCCATAATACATATTTTAGCATCATTTGTGGTATCGATATTATGATTTTATTTCCTTGAAGAATAGCACGTAGCTGAAACGTTAATTACACTAGTTTACAGCCAAAATGTACATTCAATGCCACGCAAGAAAAATCGCAAGAAAAAATTTTTCAGTGGATAGGTTCTTTTTATATGAATTTTTGAATTTTTTTTCGATTTTTTTTTGACATACGTTCACATGATAAGCCATATCTCAAGTCAGAAACGTCCGATTGAGTCGCGCAAGACGCCATTTTAAAGATAATCGAATTTCCATCCATTGCTTTTCACATTATTTTCCAATCGGTTCAATAGTTTAAGTGTTTTGAGCCAATATATATGAGAAACATTGATTTTTTCGGATAAAATAAAACACGAATATTTCTTCCATCGCCATGGAAAAATAGAAATTGTCAAATTATGTCCAGTTTCTTATGGTTTACGTATAGATCGCACTTTTACGAAGAAAACAAGCTTTTGTTGAAGAAAATCTATGGATAAATACCGGAGTTAGGAACAATTGAGTAACATTACAAAAATTTCACTTTTACTCTGTTTTTGTATTGTTTTCCTATTTATATAGGAAACATTTATTTAATTAATTTCAATTCGAAATAATTTCGGCCTTTACTTTGTCTTCTGTTATTTGTTGGGTTCGTTTCTCTGATGAGGAACCAAATGTAGTCTCCCAACATTCTTTCATCCCATTATCCTTGATAGCGCTGCTCAATAGTTTAGGGCTTCTGCCTCGGCAGAGTATGAATTATAAGGAAGTTGTTGAAGATTTGCTAATAAATTATGCAAAATTGGGTATGGAATATATATTGTTACTCTATTTTATTTGACAAAATGGAAAAATTTGTACATTTAATTACAATTTTAATTTCAACAGGCGTACATATGTCGTTCAAAATTCATTTTTTACATTCTCACTTGGATTTTTTCCTGGAGAATCTTGGCAATGTAAGTGACGAACACGGCGAAAGGTTTCACCAAGATATAAAAACTATTGAGCAGCGCTATCAAGGATATTATTCATAGATCCGGTATTTATCCATAGATTTTCTTCAACAAAAGCTTGTTTTCTTCGTAAAAGTGCGATCTATACGTAAACAATAAGAAACTGGACATAATTTGACAATTTCTATTTTTCTATGGCGATGGAAGAAATATTCGTGTTTTATTTTATCCGAAAAAATCAATGTTTCTCATATATATTGGCTCAAAACACAAACTATTGAACCGATTGGAAAATAATGTGAAAAGCAATTGTTGGAAAATCGATTACCTTTAAAATGGCGTCTTGTGCGATCCAATCGGACGTTTCTGACTCGAGATATGGTCTATCATGTGAACGTATGTCAGACAAAAATCGAAAAAAAATTCAAAAATTCATATAAAAAGAACCTATCCACTGACAAATTTTTTCTTGCGATTTTCGAGTTTAGTAGGGCAAAATACATAAGAAAAAAATTGTGGCATTGAATGTACATTTTTTTTTATTTTGTAAACTAGTGTTATAGTTCTCTGCAATAAATAAAATTACACATTTCTAATAACCAAACACGTACTTCTTCTATTTACTTTGTTTCTTATTCATATTTGATTCTGTGTTTTATTTCTCATAGTATTTAAAATTGTTAGTAAGGTAGAATTATTCACGATAATGAACTACATATGTCAGATTTTTTCCCCCTAAACTATGTCATGAGCTTAACAAAGGTAAGGATATGCTACTAATTCGGAAAATAAATAGAACTTTATTGTTTCTCACCGTAACCCGTGCATGCTTGAAGTTTCCTCTTAATACTCAGGTGAACATATTTTCATTCATAATAGAACACATAATCGGTTCCCTCGTTTAAAGACTCTATGTATACGTAAATGCACTGTGCGGTAGTGCAACGCGACGGATCGTCATATTGTTACTATCACGTCCAGTCTCTTAAAAATATTCCTCCTCAGAATACAATCGGTAACACACTGAACAAATTGCGATTTCCCGTCGTGACAAACATCAATCATATCGGAAGATCTATTTGAAAACTTCGTCGAGCGATGCAACAGTATCAACCCCTCGAGCTTTGTTGTGGACAGTTGTATCCATAGAAATGTTCGCACGCATAGACCTGTGTATGTGTGAATATCAATGATCGCGCGCAACTGTGCGCCAAGGTAAATAGAATACATGAAAAAGTGGAGGAGTTAAAGAGTAATCATAGAAAAATAGAAGATCCCCCTAAAAATATTCAAGAAAGTAGAAAAAGATGTGAAATCGAAATGAGCAGCCAGTACATAAAGATCCTTTCCAGTAAAGTGCAAGGTGACACTGTGTAACATAATATCAAATTCGGTGCTTTCCAACTATTCGCAGCTAAAATGCTGTGTTTAACAGTGCAGATGTTCAGACTCTAATGGCAACTCATGTAAACTGACTGCTCCGCACTTTGGCGGTGAAATGAAGTAGCTAAATAGTGTATCAACCACAAACTGAGACCGTTTAGACATTTGCCTAGATGTCCGTGGTCTGGAAGTCAAATGCTTGGCGTGGCCAGGCAAGGTCAAGGTGTTGATGAATAAGAATTATTTTAAAACACAAAATAATGAAAGTGTACTCATATTGTCAGAGTTTTAAACTAACAAATTATCTGAAAGCTTGCGAGAGTAAAGGTATTGGCATCGATGAATGACCTTAGAAATATTTTAAAACCCAATACAATGAAAGAGTACTCATAATATAGTCAGAGTCTTAAATTGACAAATTATGTGAAAGTCTGCGAGAGAGAAAGTATTAGTAGTTATTGATGATCTGAGAATGCTTTGCCTGTCCACGCCAAGCATTTGACTTCCAGACCACGGACATCTAGGCAAATGTCTAAACGGTCTCAGTTTGTGGTTGATACACTATTTAGCTACTTCATTTCACCGCCAAAGTGCGGAGCAGTCAGTTTACATGAGTTGCCATTAGAGTCTGAACATCTGCACTGTTAAACACAGCATTTTAGCTGCGAATAGTTGGAAAGCACCGAATTTGATATTATGTTACACAGTGTCACCTTGCACTTTACTGGAAAGGATCTTTATGTACTGGCTGCTCATTTCGATTTCACATCTTTTTCTACTTTCTTGAATTTTTTTAGGGGATTCTTCTATTTTTCTATGATTACTCTTTAACTCCTCCACTTTTTCATGTATTTGGCATAATTTTTTTACTTTTTTGAAGTTTTTTATGGGGATATCACTTCTTTTTACAAAGATAATTTGTATAGTGAATGATTTCAAATAATAGAAAATGGGTGATCAATTTGAATCCTTTAAGGTTTCAAAAGAACGTGGAACATATTGCAGGAAGTCTCATTGCAAGAAACTTATTAAAGAAAAAATGTAATTACTTTATCAGTAACATTTAAATGCAACAAGACTTTCTATCATGTGTCATGGGTACTTTAGTGAAATTAAAGGACTAAGTCTGACCTTTCTTTTTCTATATTATTGTAATACAATAATACAAATGATCTCTGTTCATTTTATCATTATTTAAATTTCTTGCAACAAAACTTTCTGCCACGCATTGTGTGTACTTTTGAAAATTCTGAGGACTGAAACTGATATTGCAATATGATAAATTGTGCGTTACAAATAGTGGATTTCTTTTTTCATTTCTCGCTTCATCTTTAACATTTAAATTTCTTGCAGTGAGACATCTTGCCATACGTTCTATATACTTTTGGTAACTTAAAGGACTGAAGCTGGTTTCTTTCCTATATCTGGCTTCAGACACATTATGTATATTGTAGACTCTACGCTTAATATAATAAAAGACAAATGTATTTTTATTTTAAGCTCTGTATTAATTTGCAAGTAAAATAAGGATTGTATGTGTTATTTACAAATAAAATTAATGTCATATGAATAACGCACAATTTATTGTATTAGAATAAAATTCACAAGTATGCACAATTTAAATTTTAATAAATAAAGTGGGAAAATGTACAAAGAGATCCACTATTGGTAACGCACAATTTATTGTATTATAATTTCAGTTTCAGTCCTTTTCTATTAAGTTTTCAAAAGCACGCACAATCCATGTCAGAAAGTCTTGTTGCAAGAAACCAAATGTCACAAATCCAAACTGACAGGTTATACAGGTTAGAAATGGTTAGAAATGAACGAGCGGCATGAGTGCCAGCCATGTTACAATTCCGACCGACGAGCCTTGCCGACTGATTCCGAGAGTCAACGAATCGACGAATGGCCTTAGCTCCTATTGGCTAAGTGTTGACGAAAGAAAAATTCCTTGTCAAAGGAAAAGAAAAATGCTGCCGTTTTGACACATTCATGATATGATATTACGATATCTCTGTCGTTCGTGGACCGATTTTATTGATTTTGGTTTTATTCGAAACCTTATGTGCGATTTGCATTAGAAAAATGCCTTTAGATTTAGAAAATACAGCAAGCGTGACGAGATATTAATGACAGAAGTTTCGGGTTAGGTTGGAATCGCGTTTTCTCGAGTAAAAGATACGCGGTAGCACCAGCGCCAGGCATATACGAGGAGGCTATTTTGTCATATACTTGGCGTTGAGACGCTACCGCGACTCTAGATTAGATTTAAATACAGTAAAATCTTTATTAAGAAATTTTTTAGACGCCACGTCACTAAAAAGAACTTCCGGGTTCGAAATTTGTAGGCATATAATTTGTATAGGCGTTTAATTTAATTCATTTAAAATCAAATTGTTTTTATTGATTATGATTACCCAGATAGCACCGGACGTCCCATTGACGTCCATTTTATGTCCAGTTTACGTCAAAACGTCTGACGTTCGTTGTCGGACGTTCGGCCGGAACGTCCTACGAACGTCCATGGGACCTAAATTTTGGACGTCCCAGGGATGTCCGCTCTGAACTTTCTACATTTAGGGAAAAATACTTTTTTTTAAACAAAATAAATATTATTTATTAATATTCTTTATAATATAATATTTATTCAATATGTAGAACAGAATATTTTTTTCCGAATATAAAATACACTATTTACAATTGTAAATTAATATTAATTAATATTATTATCCCAGATAGCACCGGACGTCTCATGGACGTACAGAGAACGTACAGAAAACGTTCTGGGAATGTCCAGCACCGGATGTTCCATGGACGTACATAAGACGTTCCTGTTCCTGTGCTATCTGGGTATACAATCATTATTTAATATTCGCAACAGAATATTTTTTTCCGTAGATAAAACACATATTTATCTGATATTCGCAACAGAATATATGTTTGAACATGTAAAACAAAATGTTTATTCAATATTAGGAATACAATATTTTTTTACATATATGTATGTACGTATATATCCCTTCACGCAAAGAAAAATTAAAAAAACTACTTTATTTAATATCTAAATATGTAACAGTAGAATATACCCAGATAGCACAGAGACGTCCCTGTACGTCCATTAGACGTCCGGTACTGGACGTTCGGGACGTCCTTTGAACGTCCAGATAACGTCCCAGTTACATTGCAGGAAGTCCCTGGGACGTCCGGCGTGGACATTCTATGTGCGTCCCTGGGACATCCGATGTGGACATTCCCAGAACGTTTTCTGCACGTTTTCTGTACGTCCATGGGACGTCCGGTGCTATCTGGGATAATAATATTAATTAATTAATTAATTAATATTAATTAACAATTGTAAATAGTGTATTTTATATTCGGAAAAAAATATTCTGTTCTACATATTGAATAAATATTATATTATAAATAATATTTATTTTGTTAAAAAAAAAAGTATTTTTCCCTAAATCTAGAAAGTTCAGAGCGGACATCCCTGGGACGTACAAAATTTAGGTCCCATGGACGTCCTAAGGACGTCCAACAACGGACGTCGGACGTTTGGACGTAAACTGGACATAAAATGGACGTCCATGGGACGTCCGGTGCTATCTGGGTATTTATTATGTATATGCAACAGTAAGATATATTTTCTTTATAGTATATGTTCACATACTCATTACAGCTTTTTGCAGGATGAACCATTAACAAATATGCATATTAGCATGAAGTAGTTATTTAATATACATAAAAAGCTCACTATACATATAATATATTGTAACACACGCATAACGTATATAGATACACATGTAGGTACATTAACGATTGACCAGGCATTCTATATAGATACAATAATTTGTATCAGTATCTCTGACATACGTTATTTAATAAATCTGTATAATTGATGAACAAACACGTACAATAGCCGAAATAACAAATTCTCTTTAAAAACGTACATTTTTAATTGCTTAAAAGCATGAAGTTATCCTGTACAAATTCTGGATTTATATTTCATTCTGTAACACTTTATTGATATTAGAAATGCCGCGACCCTAAAAGAGATTTATTTTTCTGAACTTATAATACTCAGTGTTCGATTTTTTTTATCTCATACTAATTAAGTTTAATCTGTATATTTTTAGTTTTCGAAAGTAAATATTTTATGTGAAAAACTGTAGCATCGCAAAAGGATTTGTTATATAATTGACGTAGTTTGCGAATATTTTATATAAAAATTATTGAGTTAAAAATCAAAAAACATTTGTCATATAAATAGCAAAGTATGTTTAATAAATTTATTACATAACTGTTGGGTTTTTATTAATTGGTAGAATTGTTGAATTCTAATCTCAAAGTTAGCGCGTTAGGCGAATGTGTGAATGCGTTTTGTTTTATGGATCCATGTGGCGCTGACCGGAAGGATCTTCCTTCATTCGTATATTTGGTGCTGCACATAGCACTGGATAGAAAGCACGTGTGTATTTTACCTCCTAATAAAACCTACCAAAGCACGTGTATATTCTACCAATTAATAAAAACCCACCAATAACGATAAAGCTCATTGTAAGTACTAAAGTTCTCAGAAGTAGTTTAGGGCAAGCCCCACACGGAAAGCTAAATAATAAAATATTTATAAAGACCAAGCTGAATCTCACTTAGCCTTACAAGTAATAATTTCTAATTTTATAATTTTATTGACAAATTTGGAACCATTACACATCTTGATTATGACATTAAATTATTGCAATACAATTGAATAGCCAGTTTATTAAAGTATTCTTTCATAAATTCTACGATTTCATGAGTATTTCTTACTCCATTACATCTGAATTAAGCCAAAAAATGAATACTTTTGTAAACAAGTATTTGCGAATGAAATATTTTATCGAAATTGACTCCTATACTTAGAACCATCCACTAATAAAAATGATAAAAGTCTGTCAGTCTTCTTTTAGTATGTTCTTTATATATTTTACAAACATAAGTCATCTTTAAACAAAATCATGACACATGTGACACCTTAGTCCATTACTTATTCTTAAATTTAATTACAGACACATTACACACGTCTTGTATTTTAGAAGCTTGAAAGCATTATCCAGGGAATAATAAAGTTAATACTACCTTCTTTTTTCATGCAAAATTAATTCATTCGTCCCTGTATATTTAATGCAACAGTAATATTTTATTTTAAAATTTAAGTTTCTGTAAAGTTTTTTGTTTAACAAATTTGAGAATCTGTGGTAACATTAATACATTCTCAATAAAAGCAATATTATGAACATTGAACTGTAATACAAAATTATATAAAAAACTTATAATACTTTGTTCGAATATTGAAATATAGAAAATTGACCTATGAAATGTATTAAACTAGATATAAAATTAAGAACAAGATTATTTGTATTATATCTTATGGTATACAAAAATTAATATCATTGATAAATGATACATAAACAGTTTTTTAATTTATGAGAAAAAAAACATAAATACATGAAATAATACAAAAGATTTTTTAAAAAGAATTATATACTAAAAATATGTAAAAATGCATTTATAGATATGTAAATGCAAGTCTAACAATGTAATACTTTATCAGTTTAGTTGCCACGTTAAAGTTTCATTTATAATCATAAAGAGTAGCTTGTACTGTTCATAAAACATGACAATTAAAACTCATTGTAAGATATAAAAGAATAAGCGATTTGGCATCTGAAGTCTTACTCATATCACAATGGATACAGTGTACATATTACATGCCTAACTGATACAGGAAGCCCAATGAATGTTAATAATACACAGATATACGAATAATTATCTTAAGACTATTTTAAACACAGCCAATAACACATCAGTTACACACGATCATAGTTCTATATAGGACACAAGTTACACACAAATAAGTAACTTCATCAATTCAAAATATAGAGGAGTATATGTCACATCAGGATAGCTTGTGTCAACAGTATCTTCTAATAAAACAAAAATATCACGACCATATATCTCAATTGTAAAACATATGCATGTAAGTATTTATGTATGTATGTACAAAGAAGTAGCGGAATAGATGAGCGCTACGATGCATAGTCAGGTTTTTGAAAACGGAAAGACCGGCGTCGTGTGAAATCAAACGGAGCATGTGGACGTCCTGTTTAATAAAACTCTTTAACTAATTAATTGTGTTTTCCCTCGTATCCCACTCGTCCATCCTCACACAATGAAGTAATGCTGATGATGGAGATGGAGGTAGCGATGGCGACGGTGGTGGTCTTGTAAAAATTTCTATTTCATTACAGTGGAATTGACATACTGTACTAGATGTACTTAAAGTAGATTCTGACCACATTCCTCTTCCTTTAGCTTTTCTTCTAATTCTACTATTATCTGTACTTGTTTCAGGCACATTTCTAGGCTTATTTTTACGAAGGTACTTCCATAATACATTTAATCTGCGATCGTTAATTGTTACAAAATTATATTTGTGAAAATACAAGTATTTTCTTTTCTTGACTATTCAAATGAAAATGTAAAATTATATATTGAGACATTTACCTTGGATACTGAAACTGGGCAAAATGAGCCGAAGGACCGATAACCGCTAACATCGGACATAAAAAGAATGTAGCATATAACCAACTTATGCCCATTACAAGTAATAAAAATATACCAATTTGGATATATGCCAGTACACAAGACGGTAACATGAGAGCTCCAGCAGCTCCACTCGTAAGAGAAGCCATCAAAGTTGGGCCACCCATTTGTGTGAGAGCCGTTTTCACTCTATCTTTTCTCTCTTTAGAATTGCACGCTCTATAGCTTACTACATAATGTAAACTAAAATCTATGGCTAAACCTAAAAAACATACACATATGATTATTATATATTTTGCAAAGAATAATGTTAATATGTTTGTAAATACCTATTGCTGTTGACACGGCAACACTTTCTAAAACATTCAACTTCCAACCAAATAGTATCAGACCAGCAACTGTTACTATAATTGCTGCTCCAATTGTTATAATTGCATATAGACTAATAAGAGGATTAAGTGTTACAAAGGCCAATACTGTAAGGGCTAAGATCAATGAAACTCCCATTGCCCAAAGAGTACCTTCATATAACGTCCGCTGCAATTCATAAAATTCTAATTTACTAACAAACCAACCACCTCGCATACCCAATGGTGCATTTTTTAGTTGATCTTGCATCCAAGTTTCCACCTACAAAAATACAGTTACCTGATTATTTTTAAAATTCATGTTTTACATAGTAGTTACCAATTTTAAACATTTTTTAAAAGTATATAAGATAAAGGTGAAATTATGTTTTTTATATATGTACCTGATGAAAGAATTGATCCATACTCGAGAAGGAAAGACTGTAGTTATATACACTGTCATATTCAACAATTAAAACTTTAATTTTAGCCATTGGTCTTATCACTGAATTAGTCTCATTTGAAAATTGTACATGTGTGAGATTTGCTTCGTTTAAAAATTTTAGACCACCAGTAACGCCATTACGAGCCCATAAGTACGAAGGTGTGCGATATAATTCTGCATTAGCTTCAGCTGCGCATTGTTGCAACACGCTAGAATTATATGGAAATGTACTGCTTTCACAACATGGCATATAGTTAATGTGCGAGTTGATGGGATCTTCGCAACGTCTTTTCATCCAATTACGTAATGATTCGATAAAACAATTGGATAGTAAAGGTCCTAAGGTATCACGATAGAAAGGCTGAGCTCGCAAGTTATGGCAAAATCGTTCCAACCATAATTGCGAGTCTGGATGTGATACGTCAAAAGATTCATCCCATTCTGGTGTACCTGTTAAATCAGGATTAAGATAGTTACCATTATCGATTGGTTTTATGCCCCATACAAATCTCAATGGTAATACATCTCCATTATCTATCTGAAATTATAAAGCCTTTTGTTAATTGCTTGAGAAATTTAATAAAACTGTTTTACAAAAAAATTGCTATAATAATTTGTACATACTGTTTCATGTTTCTCAAACCAGAATTTTTGAGAATATATCAAATCATACTGTTCAAATGTATGAGAACTATCAAATAATTGGAACTCAGCAGTATCTGGCAATTGTAAACCTGGGTAGTGGAAAACAGTAAAACAACAAAATGCTGCCATGCTACCCAAACTTAATAACCAATACCACCGGAAATTAATTACTGTTTTCGTTAGGAAGTTATTAAATCCTAGCGATATTTTGTGTCCAAATAGTCGTGCAGGTCGAATAATTTTTCGTACTACATAATTTGCAGGTGATAAAACGTTCAAGTTGAACTTTTCTGATAATACTACACATGCTGGCAACCAAGTAATCATCAAAAAGAAATTCGCGATAACAGTCATTCCTGAAAATAAGCTACAAATTCGATTTATTAATAAGATATAGTTTATATAATACTTTGAAGCAGTTATTACATAAGTAAGTATATACCTGAAACAGTTGATAGCAGTAACATTACTAACAACCGATGCAAAGAAGGCCACTGCAGTAGTTAAAGATGTAACAAACATAGATGGAACAGCATGTTTCATTGTCTCCTGCACTAGTCTTACTAATCCATCGTTAGATAATTTTTGTTCTCTTCCCCTCTCCCAAATTTTGCAATATATAAATACGTCATCTGCTCCTATTCCTTGAAAATAAATGAAATTATATTTTTTGCATATTCTGTTATTAAATACATTATTTTAAATTGTACTTATATATATTCTACATATCCTTACCTACAGCAACGACAATTGCCAACAGATTCATGAATGGAAAGAAGTGAATATGCAGAACTAAAGTGTACAATGCATATGAAATGCCAAGACTGAAAATTACTGCAATAATTGTTGTTACAGTTAATAACAAAGAGCCAGTATATGCCCATATGCAAACTGTTACAAATGCAAAACCAATAAGTAACAGAACAGAGTCTGATACCAACAATCGATCAAATAATGTACTTTTTAAACCTAACTGCATCCCTTTGATACAGAATTTTCCATAAGATAAGCCATCATTGTTTAATTCTTTATAAAAATTTAAAGTAGCCGAGCTCTCAGCAATTGGCAGAAATATCATGACATATTTCAATGTTGAATTAAACTTGGTTTGATTGTTATGTTGCTGAGTTTGCTGCTTCTATAACAAACATATTAAAAATTTTATTACAAAATATTTCAGTATAAATAGCAATTTTGTATCATATAATAATTAAGTGCCTTACATGATCTGGTATAAATTCAATATCTAATAAATAATGTAGCAAATGATAAGCTGCATTACGTGTATAACATTCGCTTGGAACATGCCTTTGACAATTTAAATCTTCTGCACAGTTTGATGTCAAGCGAAGGTTTTGATAAAAATAAATGCATCTTTGTAAAAGAGTTTCTACTCGACTAAGATCATTTTCTGTTACACCCAAACAGGAACTTCGATTAGATAAAAATGCAACGTAATTTGCTGGAGACCAGCTCCTACAACATTTTTGTTCTTGACCATTATGTTCTGTTTGCATTTGACATAAAGAAGGAAAGTGAGCATTTGATCGTAATTCTGCATCGATATAACATTGTGCTAATACACCCTCCATCGACCATAAATTTGTATCTTCAGAGTTTCTGCCAATAACGACACGTGCATACGCAGAAGATGGTGAATTACAAAAGAAATTCTCATTGTCAATATGGTCTTGACTTTTATAGTCCTTTACCACATTTAATTTATTTTTGTTTTTCAACTCTAACAATTCTTCCCATTTGTTTTTAGCATCAATTTGATCTGTTTCTGATCTTTTATCAGTTACTTGTTTTTGATATTTTTTCCCCCCTTTTTTCTTGTTTTTAGGTTTCTTCCTAATAATACCCTGGTTGATCCAGCTATGATTTTGTATGTTTACAGGATTCTGTAAATTCTAAAATGTATTGCAATGAATTACTTTATTATTAATTTATTACTTACATAAACATTTAATATCAAGGTCAATTCTTTGATTACTAATGTCCCAATCCAACATCCAATTTAAACATTACCTTCTAAATGATAATAGAAATTAAAAACAGATGGAGCCTAAGAATTTAAATTTAGAAGAATATATATTGAACCTAGATAAAATTAAATTTTATTACATAATATTATTATTGAATTACTGTCAAACATAACTGTAGTCACAGATTTCTTAAAAATAGACTTTCTTTACTTTTAAACTGAGATACATTAATTGTTTTATTGATTAATTTTTAAAACTTTTCGTTTTTTTTTGTTCAAATAACCCTAGGAAGATGTACTTTGACTCAATACATTGTTTGCTTTATAAAACCAATCCTACTTAATATAATGTATTGATTTATATTTCTTGATAGAATTACCTGTTGATTTAATTGGCGCACATAATTATAATATTCTAAAGGATTGTCAGTGAGCTGTCCTCTTGGTTTACTTGTTTCCATCAAATTTTGCCAAGCAATAAGCCGTTGTGCTAGCATTGTACCTCTTGCTTGAAAGCCCTTAACAAAAATAAAACATAAATTAAACAAGAAATATACATACATGTACACCAATTGTTTGTAATTTATATATACTTACTAACTGAGGATCAGAGAAGTCTGGGAACTTTTTGACAGCCAAAGGAACAATCAAACATGTCGAAGAGAATATGAGTATGACCATTAGAATGGTATAAGGATGATGAGCTATTACACGAGAAAACAACCACACTTCCATTTTTGATAATTATATTTTATCTTTCTCTTAACTTAGGTCATACTTTCTCGTAAATTATAGTAATGTAGAACAAATAATATAAAAACAATATCGTCGCAATTGTGGTCCAAGTTATAAGTTGTCATAGCATCATTTAATACTTCGTACAGTTGTACCCTTTTCTTGCATTAGTTTCCATTGGATTTATAATTTGTTCGTTTAATCACTTCGTATACTTGTATCAAATTGTATATTAGATATAAATGTAACAGAAATCATAAATTTATTGCCGCTCTACTCGAACATAGACTTTTGCACAATGCTTTATAAATGAGTATAATTTTTTTTATAAGAAATGCCCCGATATAATTTCTTAATTTAAAAGCAACTTGGACCTCCCACTTAAAGGGGTGACATACACGTGTTTACATCGGCAATAACAGGCAGTAACAAATGGAACAATCCATGGAACTAAGAATATGTAATGAAGCACATATACGTAACTTGCAGTGGCGTAAGACAAATTTTCAGAAATTTGCATTTTATATTCACTTTTTGAGTAAAAATACACGACGAATTTAAAACAATGTCTTTATTTATCGTATGTCTCTAAATACTTATGTACATATTTCATCAAATAATATTTTGAAGTGTTTATATTTTGTTACTATGCATTATGCAATAAAAAATAATACTGCAATATTAGATCAATCGATTAAAAGCATCACTATCCTACTGTATTAATTTTAACTCTTATCATTTTGAATAACACTCATCATAACGTATTTTGGAAATTGTAATTTTGAAATATTAAATTTAATTTATATTATTATTTCCTTATAACTTGTTTTCGTTTAAAAAAAATACTAAAAACAATACACAGATGTCAAGAGTAAAGTTATTTATTTATAACTATTGGTTACAAAATAAAATAGTTTTGAATGATCTAGAAATATTATCTGGTGACATCACATGAGAGCATCTTTTCTCGTTATCTTTTCTTCACTTCGATTCGTAGATCCATGTATACAGGCCGTATCTACGAGTACATATGGTCGAACGTGGTGTTACCAATGAAGACAAACTGGCGCCACCAACGGAGAGTAGGCGAACTACTAGATAGTTTTTCCCGTTTTTCGGGCACAATAATGAAAAGAACATATAATAATTATACATTTCGTCATTAGGGGAAGTAAATCTATCGTCTCGCCAAGCGTTTTTTACTTAATTTTTAATAGTTTTACAATATAAAGAAGAAATCACAAATTGTCCAAGGAGCGTGATATCTTTGATGAAGAAAGGAGATAAACTAAGAAGAATTGGAGAAACTAATATGAACGAACGTAGTAGTAGAAGTCATACCATATTTAAAATTATAAGTTCACTTCGAGCCAAGTGTGTTTTAGAATACACTGTTTCGACAAATGTATATTTCCCACTTAGACAATCGAAAGCAGAGAAGTTGAAGGAGATTCGGAGGATGCTATACAAATCTCGCAATCGAATCTAGTAGATCTCGCTGGTTCTGAAAGGGCATGCCAAATGGGAGCAACAGGGGAAAGATTTAAAGAAGGACGACACATTAACATGTCTCTGTCAACCCTAGAATTAGTAATCATGCAATTGAGCGAATCTCAAGATAGCCAGAAACATGTTAATTTTCGTGACAGTAAATTAATAGGACTGTTGCAGACTTCGCTTGGTGGTAATGCTATGACGGATATACTGTGCGCCGTGACTCCATTCGCGTGTTAGACAATTTACGAAAACTCGTATTTTCTCTACCAAGGCGTTCTCGTTACTAGATACTTCCCGTCGTAGCTCCTCGTTAGCAACTTTCAATGCGTCGATTTCATTCAAGAGCATTTCTTTTTCATTTTTCAATTCGCCGAGCGTAACAGTGAAATCCACGCTCCTCGTTTTGAGTTCGTGCATATCGTCTGGCAATCAGTGTCGATATGATTCTGTATTTGTTCTATTCTGCGTCTACTCTCACTCGAACGGTCCTTTGACTCGGTATTCGTTGCATCCGTGGTCTTCTCCTCCTGAACCTGGAACTCTGTAAACTCATTACACTTATCTTCGTACAGAATCGATAATTTATTATGATTTGCCTTTAACGTTTAAGCGAATCAAGTAACCGATTTTCTCCTGTAACGTTGTAACTATACCCGCGAGTACATCGCGGTTTTCTGTTTGTACAATATATTTTCGATATAATTTGTAGTCTCGATACTGTCGTTGAATGTTATCGACGTATCCCGTAATTGTTCACATTTAGGGCGATCGAAAACTTCCATTGGTTCTAATAAGTTATTGGCAAATTTAGTGTTCCCTTCAGAAAGTATCGTCATTTTCGCTTTCAATTCTGCAATTTCTGCCTTCAACGTGTTATTCTGCGATTTTAAATGATCCTCGCGATTCTCAACAGAATTCTCATTCATTAACTGAAATTGATTTATTTTGCTTTGCAATATATCGCATCGTTCCTTTAGCGTATCATTTTCTTCTATTTTGTCTATCAAATCCGTAGAAAGTTCGTTATTCTGTAATTCTAAACATTCGTTCTTTTGTGCGAGAACAGCTACTTCTTCCTTATAAATGCATTCGTGATTGTACAAGAGCGACTTACTTTCTTTGATACTTTTAAGCTTGTTATTCTTCTCTACGATAGTAGTCGATAATTCGATGTTCTCGGCTGTTAAGTTATCGATTTTATTTTGATACGTCGCAACAATTTGTTCCTCGCATCGAGTTTCCGTTATTCTGGAACGCGTGGACTTCAGTTCGTCGCTCAAAGCTTCCAAATTGCTTTCCAAATTAATTTTCTCCACTGTAATTGTGATTGTTTTTTGAAAGTCAAGCTCCGCCCTCTTTGCATTTTCTTGTTCTGTGGCTAATTTGTCAGCTATTTCCGTATTCTCAGTTTTCAGTAAAGAAATAATTTTTCGAAGAGTTTCTATATCCTGTTCGAGACTCTCAACGTTACATTTTGTTTGTTGACATATCAGTTACTTCTCCATAACTGTAAATTGACAGAGTTCCACATACTCCTTTGTTAAATCTTCGATACATTGTCGTAAAATATGTTTCTGCGTGGTAGGAGACATCTCATAACTTATCATTTGAGTTGCCTTGTCACATTTCTCTGGTGTTATATTAAGATTAATTTTTTCTGGTGTTATACTGTCCTTGGATCTAGCGATTAATACATCATCCATAAATGTAACACGATAATTACGTTTCGTGACGATCGATTCGTCGTCGCTGTCGGTAACATCTCCTCTACTTTCGCGAACTCTTCCACTTTCAAATAATTCTAATTCGAAATCGGCGAAAGCCGTTTGAAATGTTTGATTTATTTTATCGGCGGACTTAATGATACTCTTCCTGTTATGTGGCTTCTCGTAAGACACTTTTTTTATAGACGATAACTCAGTTGCAGGCTTAAAAGAAGGCAAATGTTGATTAAATAATCCCGAACCACCCCATGTTTGTCTCCGTTTAGATTTATACTTGAACGATTCTTGATTCGTAGTATCTCCAGACACGATTCGCATCTTCAACAATTCTATACGCTCTCCCAACAACTGATTGACGCCTTCTTTTTCCTGTAATTTCGACTCCATTGCTTTACCTTCTGCTACGCGATTTCCTGTTTTTATTCTCTGAAAAAGAAAATCAATTCACGGAATTACGAATCTATTTTATACAACCAGTTGCAGTAATTATTACGACACAAATTCGAGTTATAGACCTGTAATTCTGCTTGAAGTTTCGATAATTGTTTCGCGTATAGTTTCAAAAGTGCTGCATCGGACATAACTTCGTTAATTTCTGGTTTGTTTTTTACACTTTTAGCGCGACATGCGAACCTAAAAATTGACAAAATAAAATTAAGAATTTGTAACAATTAGGAATGGTAGGAATATATTACATTAATTATGATAGCAATGTACTAACGACAAAGTGCATTGAGTTTCTTCCAAAGCAGCTGGAGTCACGGCGCACAGTATATCCGTCATAGCATTACCGCCAAGCGAAGTCTGCAACAGTCCTATTAATTTACTGTCACGAAAATTAACATGTTTCTGGCTATCTTGAGATTCGCTCAATTGCATGATTACTAATTCTAGGGTTGACAGAGACATGTTAATGTGTCGTCCTTCTTTAAATCTTTCCCCTGTTGCTCCCATTTGTCATGCCCTTTCAGAACCAGCGAGATCTACTAGATTCGATTGCGAGATTTGTATAGCATCCTCCGAATCTCCTTCAACTTCTCTGCTTTCGATTGTCTAAGTGGGAAATATACATTTGTCGAAACAGTGTATTCTAAAACACACTTGGCTCGAAGTGAACTTATAATTCTAAATATGGTATGACTTCTACTACTACGTTCGTTCATATTAGTTTCTCCAATTCTTCTTAGTTTATCTCCTTCCTTCATCAAAGATATCACACTCTCTAGACAATTTGTGGACAAATTCTGGACTATTTGCCCGTTACCGTCCTCTTTAAGCTTCAAATCGGTATTATTTTTGTTCAATAAATTGTTGACTCTTTCGCTGTAAAGCTCCAAATATGATACTCTGAAAAATGAAAGTAATCTTTCATATAAAATTGATCAATTTAGTATTTATCTTCTTAACTACAAAATAACTAACGTATCAGTTTCCATGATAATAAGTATACCTTAATAAAAATTCCCTTTTGATAGTGTTTGCAATCCGCATCAAACATATAGTCAATCTGTGGACGTAATCTAATCAAATAAATTGCGGTAAGAATAAAATCAAGTTTTACCATTTAAAATCTTTACAGAAGCTGGATACGCACCGGAGCAAAATCCTCCATCTCCACGCTTTTTCATCTCCGGATCGGTCGAGACAACACAGTACCCTTGAACTACCCATTGTATCGTTTGATTCTCTTCTTTCTCGCGTTTTCTTAACGGTCTCACTCTAATCGCAACTTTAAGGGTGCGCAGGAGCCAGAGCCAAACTCCTAGTTGATTTCAGCGACAGTTGCGGAAAAAGTAGGTAACTCCGGGACAAGGACAGAGAGGGCGATACAACAATTGCAGAAGAGACGAGGACACGGCGATTAGGCTAGCATGATTTTTTTTCGAAGATATTGAAGCAAAGAAGCAATATTTTCTAATAATTCTGGTTTTAATATATTCGTTACACTTTGGCGGATGCGACTCCAAGGCGTGATTTTGCAATTTCGGCCTTAAAACTTTATAAACAATAGAAGTATGTTTGCTATTTTCATTTTATTGTTTATAAAGTTTTAAGGCCGAAATTGCAAAATCAGGCCTTGGAGTCACATCCGCTAAAGTGTAACGAATATATTAAAACCAGAATTATTAGAAAATATTGCTTCTTTGCTTCAATATCTTCGAAAAAAGTCATGCTAGCCTAATCGCCCTGTCCTCGTCTCTCCTGCAATTGTTGTATCGCCCTCTCTCTTCTTGTCCCGGAAATTAATAACAATATTTACATCGCTTGCGACTTTCCCATAATTGTAACCGCCGTTTGAAAAAGAGACCTTCTCAATGTCAATCTATATTAGAATTTTCTGCATTCCACGTCTTTACTTTTTTTCTAAAAGTATTTCGAATTTTATTTTACGCGTCTCTCCGGGGAGAGCGGTTCAGCGCTCCATGGGCACCTTACCCACGTCAGCAAATTCCCTATCAGCGCACGACGCGTTCCGCAACAATATATATTACCTCGGGATTTTGATAACAGTTTTCTAGTAACTTTCGTAGGGAGTTGGATCTCATACAGTCTTCATGATTCAACACACATTTACTTTTATTTTATGGCACCACTTTGCTACGCTTACAATTTAAAAATTTGCTTGCAATTTTAACTTTAAAGTTTAATCCACTATGTGGCGCTGTTCCTTCAGCGTGAAGTTGTCAGGATGCAATATTCCAATATTGGTAGATACTGGTTACACGTAATGAATGCTTATTCGTTTTTATACGCGTATGAAATCGTGTGTTGTATATATATGTCACATATATAAATTGGCCCTACACACGTGTCTACCTATAAGAAGAGGTAGACTTTTGACTAAACTACGTTTGTTTATAAATCAAATTCATATTATTAATTTTTCTGATTAAGTACATTGTAAGTGCAGTTAAAAATCTTGTATCTTCCTCTATTTATACGTCACTTTCAATATAATTAATTAATATATTTTTATTACAGATGAAGAGTTTAATAATAGTATTTTCTATTCTATTTCTAAATACTTTCGTTAAAGCTGTAGAAATTGATAATAAATATTTAAAATGTTTGGGTATGTAAAACAATTTTTATATAAATATAAGAAATTATTAATAGAGATACTTATCTTACATTCAGATTATTGTTATAAAAATTAATATTAATAACGTATAGTTTGTAGATCAACTGTAAAAGAAGTTGAAGAAGAACTGGCAAAAATTGATCCTTCAAAGAAAATTGATGTAGGTAACTATAGATTAGATGCGAAAGGGAATATTGTACAAAAAAAGGTAATTATGAATGATGGTATTTTTATATTGAAAATATGATTTTAAATAAACTATTTTATTTAAAGGTTCCCCTTGCTCAATCTGAAGTACATATATCTGACGTACTGGACAATATTTGTGATAAAATGTCAGACTATGTAAGAGCAACATATAAATCAAATGGTCAGTTAACAATCCTAAGTCTTATAAGTGCATCTGGTAGTATGAATCCTGAAATGTCAAAAGTTGATATTATTCAAGATGGTGATATGAATAAAAGTTTACGGTTTTATGTAAGTACTTCCAGATATTTATATGTTTTATTATTTTAATAAGTATGGCAAATTATTTTCAATGTTTACAAAAAATTATATGAAATGATATATACTATACAATTTAAAAAAAATATTCATTTATCTGATATATTTCAGTGTGAGGAACTAGTAGAAGAGTATGAAGATAACATTATTTCATTATTTTCTCGCAAAGAAAGTAATATTAAACATCAGTTGTGCACAAATATTACAAAGGCATGCAATCCTGCAGATTTTGCTCATGAAGATGATGAGGATGTTGAGAAAAATGACATAAATGAAGAACACCATGAATTATAATACCATATAGGAAAACATTATATATTTTTTTAAATATATTTTTGATAATCAGAAAAGAAATGATATAATTTTATTTAAATGTAATGTGTTTTAACGAGGTATAAAGTACAGAAGTATAAAATGTAAAGTAATATTTAAAATAAATATAGGTAGATTAAATTATAAGTTTACTTTTATATTAGAAACTTAAATTTTGTTTTGAAGTTATTTAATTTTAATTGAAAAGTCAGCAAGATGCATGAAGTAGTTAAAGAAGAAGAGTAATTGGCTTAGATTTAATAATTTTTACTTTTATATGCAAAGTTTTTACATTAGGTTTGAGTATTTCATACGCGTCGAAAATGGTATCAGTACCGTATTCTGATCGAGTGAAAGCGCATATTCTACAGACTCTTTATTAAACTATTTTACACAATTTTTTTGTTAAGTTTTCGAAAATATATTTAAAAAATTAATTAATAAAGAATAAATTCTTTACATTCTGCATATGTATGAGTTGAACGTTACATTTGTAAAATAATATAATATTATTAGTATATAAATAAAAAAAGAATCAAACACATGCAAATTTCGGACCAAGTTTACATGGAATAACAACAGCAGAATGAGAAATATGAATAAACAAAAACACGATTATCATATCTGAATGAGATAAAATGAGACTGATAAAATTGTTGACGCTTTTTTTAGTTCGATAAAAGAGAAAAAACATTTTGAGAATGACAAGTGATTTGTGAAATAATATTGTTCATCAATCATGGTACAAAGCGATTTGAAACCGGTTCAAAGTCTTGAAGTTAAAAATTTTTTTCAGGTTAGAGGCCTGTTCGATTTTTACCTCTATAGTAAAATTTGATAAAATCTTTGACTATAATAAAATTGAACTATACACGTTGTTATCTTCGGCGGTGCATGCACAAAAAAATATGAACTGTATATCACTAGATGTCAATAAAAAAACTTGCGAGACTTGAATGTTATCCATAGCCATCTGGTGATAACTTTTGGAAGAGTTGCTGTAAACGGAATATATTTCTATGTCCGTCTATAATCTACAGTTGGGATGTCTGAGAATTGCTTCCATGACCAACGGTCTTTCTACCCAGATTCCTGTGCGCGCTTGTTTCGTCTTCGTTCGCCGCCATCATTACGAAGACGAAAGAGGTTGGTTTTACTGATTTTCGCGTGGTAGTGTCGTTATACGTAAGTCAGCACAAATGAAGATGGTTGATAAAATAGAAATGAGTCTCGACGACATCATCAAGCAAAATAAAGGGACCAGACCACGTGGTGGCAGTGGTAGACGCGGAAGAGGTGTCGGTAATTCACCTCGCAGAGGAACACGCAGACCTCAAAGAGTTGGTGGTGGCGTCATGCGGGGACGCAGTCGTGGTGGCATTACACGAAGTTCTTTACCGTACACAAGGGTAAGGATTGTTCGATTTGTTTTTATTGTGACATAATTTTTACAATTAATATTGTACACACTTTGTCACGTGTTTTGTATATTACGACCTACCGCACTACTTCCGCCCTAGACGCTGGTCTATATAAAATACTTTATTCCAAGGATACGTTAATCATCGTTCTACGAAGGAAAATGATTTTTCACACAGTTGCAAAAATGAATGCCTTATTTATTTTCTAAGGTTTCGGCAAATTATACCAATCGCGATTTTCATGACTCGTGTTAGATCATTAATTCTGTGGACAATTGTATATATTGTTTTTTATACGTTTACTCGATTGCCAACTAACGTAGATATTTGAAATTTGTTAAAGTTTGTGACAAGAAGAGTAACTTAAAATGCTTTATATATTATTGCAATTTAAATATTTTGATTATGTAAATTAATTGTTTTTATTGAAATATTATTCAGTCTCAAAGATGGTAAAGAATATTAAATAAATGTAACTTTCATTAATAGGGTGATGTAAACAGTGCGTGGAAACATGATATGTTCGATGGAGTAAAGAAAGTTGGTAGAAGTGCAATAGGTAGCACAGGAACAACCAAGCTTCTTGTATCTAATCTGGACTTTGGAGTATCAGATTCGGACATTCAGGTACTTATTTTTGAAAATTTTTGTATATCTTAAATATATATAATATTAATTGAAATTAAAACAAATTAATAAAAGATTCAAGCTAAAAACATTATGGTTTGTCATAATACTTTGTCATAGTTGTTTAATTATTATTGTTGAACATTAAGAAAGAACCATTAAGTAAACATAATTTAAGTTTACAATAACTGTATTTGTATTTATATGCTTTCAGGAATTATTTAGCGAGTTTGGTCCCTTAAAATCGGCAGCAGTACATTACGATAGATCAGGTCGTTCTTTAGGATCTGCAGATGTTATATTTGAAAGAAGAGCAGATGCTATTAAAGCAATGAAACAGTATAATGGTGTACCATTAGATGGTGTGTAGTTAAATTTATGTTTATACTTCAATTTTTCTTTGAATGTCTCTTTTTAATTATAAAATTCCATCTATATTTAGGGTTTCACTAACGATAATTAATGTGGTCTCCAATTTATACCTAACAACCTACAGTTTAAATATTCTCTTTTATTCTGTAAACACTCCAACATGGGATGGGATGAAATTAAAGAGAAACAAATTTCAAAGAAGTTATTGTGAATTTTGATTTGCACAACTATTCATGTTTATTATTCCAATGTGTGATATACATCGGCAGGTCGTGAAATGAACATACAAGTTGCTACCTCCGAAATACCCGTCACGTCTATCCGTGGAGGTCCGAGACTTACTGGCAGTAATTATACACAGAGACCTCAGTCTCGTTTTAGGGGTAACCGTGGAACAGGATCTATCAGAGGTATGTTAATATATTTTGGTTTATGAAATTCCTGAAATCTCAAAAACATATCACAAGTGTTCAAGAACTCTGAATTTTAATATTTTGTAATTCTCGTTATTTAAAAGATATGCATACAAAATTTTAGAAAAGTATTCTTAAAATTGCATACTTTTAGAAAATATGATTTGTAAAGTATCGATTTTTGTCATCCCTTAAATTATGTATAATCTCTTTACTTATCTTAAAGTGGGAATAAGTTATCCAGAAATAAGTATGATAACATTTTCTCATTTCTTTATTTGAAGGGCGTGGAAATGGTCGACGTGGTGGTAGAGGAGGAAGTCGGCAACCAACCAAAACTCCCACTGCTGAAGAATTAGATGCAGAATTGGAAGCTTACGTGAAAGAAGTAAAGTAACAACGTCACAAACCTTCACACTTAAGATTTTGTTCTGATCTGACTTAACACAATAAAATGTGTTTCCCTAATTTTCATGAGAATATATAAAATAAGTATAACTGTATCATTAGCAAAATGTTATAAGAAATTTCTTTTAAACGAGTCTTTTTTTATTTTTTGATGTTTTCTCTGAAATTGACATACAAATTTTACAGATTCTTAAGAAAGATGATTTATAGGAGTTCATACATTTTTTTATGATATCGCAACAAAAAATAAAAAGTTATAATGTAAAGACTGTATGGATTTGTATGTACTATCGTGCGTGTGTGATTATCAGATGAAAAATACAGTAAAATTCATCTTTAAAAGTTGTTGTTTATCAAAGTACAGAATGTGCTTCTAGCCCTCAATCTAATTAATTTTTGATCATGAATTATTAAAAGTTTTAAAATATCCATTTTTAAACTTAGTTTTACACCTTGTAGAACATCCTATTATATACTATGTGTCAATTACTATATGTATTAGTATCATACATTTGTAAATTATGTTTACTGAATTGTTTTTTTACTATGAGTAATAAAAACTGCTACTATCCGTAGTTGATAGCTCATAGTGGAATAAGGCTGTGACATACTGTTATCTAGTCAACTACTAATGAAATATTTTACTGTGCAGTAATGGGCTTGTAAGACAATGTATACGCTTTTATTCATGCAGCGTATGAATGGCAATGCAGTGGTACAAGGCTGAAGCAAAGAAACTGACGAGTCATTACACAATAAATAACAATATTCTTGAGAATGAGATAATTTTTATTTCCCACCTAATCGAAGATTCATATTTCCACTTCTCAGAAAATATAGTTTTTCTTAAACAGCTTAATTTTAATTTAGAATTTTTTATTTAAATGTAATCTATAAAAAGTATAATTTATATTAAAAGGTCATGGTAAATTGGTAATTATTAATATGCAGAATAAAAGACTTTTCCTTGAAGAACATTCTTTATTTAAATAATCACACGAGGTATCATTTTGTACATTTGTAAAAATATTTGCTAATAGATACCACAGAGTGGGCTAAATTACTTTCCACTCCTGATTGTAAAGTAGATCACTACAGAGTTGTACTTGCTTGTATCTTAGGAAGTCATTTTTCAATGCTTCTGGAATTATTAATTTTCTAAATACTTAATAATAAGATCAGTCGAGTTTAGATAATAAATTTTTACTATGCAATAATTGTGTACAATAGAGGCAACATTACCACACCAGTGTTTTAAATTATAAAAGATAGATAAATGACGTTATTTTTTTTATAATCTTTTTAGTGTCCTCTTCTTGTCTTTTAACATTTTTTTCTTTTCCGCTGATAGTTTTTTATCTCCCGCATGCTTTTTTGGGAGAGGTCCTCCAACTTCAGTGGAAGCACAACTTTCCAGACCTGCTTTGCTGCCTTTTCCACCTCCCTGAAGCATAAGTTCATCATACATTAATTATCACTGGCTATGTGTGGAAACTAGTACATCTCTTAGTACTATCTTACCTGTGCATGTATTTCTGTCATCATTTTCGCTCGCTCCGAATAATCATCATACCTTTGTAGAAGTAATTTACCAGCTTCTTCGTTTAAAGCAGATTCTGCATTTGGCACTATTAATAGACATTTTACAGTCTGAAAATAAAAATTTGTAAATATTAATAACATTTTTTTTAATGTTTCTCAGATTAAAGTATTAATACTAAATATTTACATGTATTATGTTACTTAATAATTAAGTACATTTGCATCTATTCATTAGTTATTCATAGCTTACTAGTAATATATGTTTTATTCCGAGATCTGATTTCCAATCCTTCTTTAAAGTATTGACACATATTTCTCCATTTTTCGCAACGTTTGGATGAAAAATTTTTGTAAGGAAAAATGCCTTTGGTGGTCCTTGAGGAAAGTCTTTACCGAGAGCTAATTTTACTCTGAAGAAACCGCCAGCATATGGCGTTCCCGCTGGTATTAGAAAAAGACAATATTTTTAACTTATAAATATTATAGTTTGTTAGTAAAAGTCAAATGGAATTCAAAGAAACAAATTATCATGGTCAAACTTACATACTAATAAGTATTAAATGCATATTTTTAGTAATAATGGATTATAAATTAATATAAAAGACATTTAAAGATAAGTTATACAACAACAAAAATTGTATATATTTTGCAAATTCAATTGTTTAGATATAGACAGTTTTTTAAAATTCGATTTTTAAGTAACGATTTGTTGATAATAAAAACAAACCTACACGTATATGCATGTAAATACAGGTATAATTGACATGTAAATAGGTTATGATTCAATAATTGTAAAACTCTTTAAATAGTAAGCATTATTTGATTTATATTTTGCGAGGATAATAAATTATGTGAATTTTAATCTTACAGGGTCCTTCTATAGTAGCCTGAATATCAGTAACGTCTTCTTCGTTCAAAATAACACGAATACCCTCGGGTGGTTGTGCTGCTAATTCGCTCATTTCCTTAGCTACACGTCGAATTATTTGTGGAGATAAATTTTCGACATTTGATATCTGAAAACGTAAATTATAGTATGCAGTTCGATATACTGAAAGCAATACATGTTGAGAGAAATAAGTCTCCTTAACCAGAAAATATAAACATGAAGTACCGATGTTAAAGTTCGAAGTTACGAAATAATATGTATCATCGAGTACTCACAGAACTCACAGCAGCCATATTTAATAAATTTTGAACAAAATATCAACTAACGGGCTCAAAACGCGAATTGTTTCGAGTATACTGTTAGAAAATCTTTAACGTCACAAACATCAGTACAGCATCGCCTGCAATAACCAACATTTTGAACTGACAGCCAATCGCGTGCGAGTTACAATAATCTCGAAGCTAGAAGTCGATCTTCGTCGTTTCGTGTGTTTTCAAGCAAAAAGTATCCGGCGTCTCTGACTTTTGTCCGAAGGGGACGTAACGTTAATCAAATATAGAACGTGAAATGATTAAATCTAAAAGAATATAAAGCTGAATATTGCGAACAAATAAAAATTGCGTTTGACTCTAACTCTCACTTGATCACGGATTTGTGTCGCTGTATACTGTACCTTCAATCAAAATAAATTTAAATACTCTGTTACGTATTAAACAGAATGACCGATAGTGCGGGAACAGAGCGGGTAAGATTTTATTCATGTTTCTTGTATTTATTTGTACGTATATGGAGGATATTTAACCGTGTTTCATTTAATATTCGGCTAGACAGTTTCCTGTGCACTAATCATTTAGACTTACTGTGGCAGAAAAATCAATGACAGTGACACTCATTTTTCTTCTCTAACAATGTATCCTTTTTTTACAGGAAAAGTATATGAAGCAATTAAAGCGTAAAATGGAATGCTGGCGTGAAGTAATACTTCCATTGAACTCCATTCTATTATGGGAACGATCTTGGGATCCTGGTCTTATACTTGGAATTACAAGTACAATATTCTTGTGAGTGAAAACATTGAATATAGATGGATGTGTTTTGTTTTTGAGAATTAAATTTTATATTTTTATGTTCATGAAGTCAATTTTTAATGGAAGTATCTTTTATTTACATTTGAAACATTTTGCTTTGTAACTTGTTTGTTCTTTTCAGGAATTCTTAACGATATAATTTACAAAGCCATTATTAAAAATTTCATAATAATGCTCGGTTTGAAATGACATTTTGTTAGAGGCATATGTACTATAAACATAACAAAGCTTCTTATTCAACCCCTCAAGTGTTCCTTCTTTGTTTTTTTCCCAATTTTAAGAAAACATAGATACATAGGAGGATCATTTTTTTTTCTTAAAAAATACGTGAATCATTTTAATCAGTTTTAATTATTTCATTTGAAACGTTATATTTTTTAATTACCCGTTAAGGATGTAGGGACAATTATTAGAGTAAATAAAAGAGTGGAATTTTTGTCTCAATAGTTTGATATTCTTACAGTATCTAATACTTCATAGCTGTAATAGCATTATCTATTAATTTGTAGTGGCAATGATACATCGTAAAGAAATAGTAAAAGGAGAATAATATAACAAATATATTTTTATAATAATAGTATTTGCCTTTCATAAATCATTTTAAAAAAAGAAATTATTAGGTCTAACAAGTCTACATTGTTTCTGTATTGTATAATGTATTTGTACAATGTATTCTATCACTTATTGATTAATTGTTTTTAAATACTATGCCATGCTTGTAAAATTCTTTTTTTTGCAGTTTGATATGGGTATTGGAACCTGCTCTACTTACAATAATATCTGTATCACTTCTTGTATTGGCCTTGATTGATTATCTTGTAACACCTTTGGCATCTTTTTTGTGTACTGTTAATAGTTGGACAGGCCAGAAAGAAAAAAAATTGAATGAAATTTGTCAAAATTTGTCTGTAACAATTTTACAGTTACAAAATCTATGGAGATCAATGTTGCAAATGCGAAACGATCGTCCTAACATTGTAAGCTGATAAATTTATAGTTAGCACATCTATAATGATACATTATGTAGAATATTTAAGCGAGAAGATCCCTTTAAATTATATTCTTTTTATGTTCCAGTATTATGCAGGAATAATAACTTGTCTCATAATTTGTATATGGATTGGAAGTACAATCAACAATTTACTTCTATTTTATATTGCAGGTAATAATTCTGAAGTATATTTCAGAAGATTTAATATTTGTTTATATAATATTTTATTCAATAGCAGACATATGTTAAACCAAATTTTGTTCTATGGGGATGTTACAGTGAACGTTATTTTACTTACGCCAGGACTCAGACATAAAGGACGCGCAATGTCAGCCATCGCGTTTGTGCATGACTATGTATCTCATGCTAAAAAATCATAATCACCGTTTTGTATGTATCCCTTTATCTCTATTCTCTGTAAGAATTTTTACCCAAGATAAATTAATTTCTAACTTACTAATTTAAAACTAGATAAATATAGGGTTTCTGTGTTTCAAAAGTATAATTGTCATAATAGATTATGCTTTTTCTTAGTTTCATCATTTAATGTGATGTCTAATATCATGAATTGCTTTCAATGAACTTTTATACCATAAATATATGTGCATATTGTTTCTTCATTCATCGATTTTAATAAAGCTACTTCATATTTTATCGGTGTTTATTTAAGTTAAAAAATTGTACTACATGTTATATTTTGATTGTTCGAAATTGTTTTTATTATAAATTATTATATTTGTATTATACGTATTGTGTATTACATCGTATGTTATGTAATAGTAAGCATATTCAAAACAATTTGTTGTTAAATTACTGAAACGTTTAAAAACCGCGGGTCTACAAATTGAAACATGGCGGCGCTGTCACGCGAAATGTCATGATTCCATAGTTTTTCATATTTGTACCTGGACCCCTGGACTAAACCAGTTTCATTCGAAATAAACTTCAAGTATAATAATGAGAAACATTTGAATGTGATATAAATAATTACGATTACAAACTTACTGATAGTTATAAGTAGACCGACTTTGTGCGCATTGATTCAATTGGTTTATGTTACTTTATTGCAGTTTAATTATTATTTAAGTGAATTACATGTGTATGGTTATAAACAATCTCTACGTCAATAGAAACTTTAAGTCGAATCATATTTACTTTATAATTTATTAGAATTATTCTGTCTCTGTAACAAAATACATTACACAGAAGAGTCATGGATATAATGGTAAAGTTAAACGAACAGACAGTAGGCAGAGACAAAATTATCAGGTATGTAATGTAAAATGATTTTTTTAATATTGTTGCATATAGTAAGTGATTAATTCTTTCTTTTATTTGTGTTCACTAACTATAGTTAAGTTTTTATGTGTTAGAAATCTGTTATTTGCTACTTTATATAGTAGTAAAAAAACAATGATAATGCAGTATTCTTTTCATAATATTGTACTTTAACCCTTTGATAACCAAGGCTGTTAAATGGAAATTTTTCTGTATAGAGAGGGATAAATAATTTATTTTAGAAATGATGATCTATGCGATAGATGTTAAAATATTCATTTATACATAATCTTTTTTTAACTGACTTCAAAAGGTTATGCGATTCAACATTTATATCTTTTTTTTTATTGATGTATGTTATATAAAGCGTTTCAGTATTTTATTTTTCCTATTTAAAATGTCTTTTGGTTAATTGAGAAATTGTCTTTGTAAGAGATGCTATTTATTGATGAATGTGATTTCTGGAGTTAATTAATTGAACGTGAATATTTCTATCAGATGAACTCTAAATTGAAACCTGAAGATTTATAATTACTTCTTGTAGTCATGGTTAAGATTGGCAAGAACTTCAGACAGAAAAATTATCTAACTATTTCTTTGTAATTATGAATATAATATGATATAATACATATCTTAAAATATATATTCAGTCTATATTATGATATCATTCTTCATAAAAGCACAGAGATACTAGAGCAGTCAGTTACACATAAGAGAAAAACATAGGGTTCCTACAACATGGATATGGTGTCAAGGGGTTAATAGTCAGAAAATGATTTTTAATATAAATATACATATAAGCAGAACATTTTTGTTTTAATAATTCATTATAGTTTAGTATTTTTGTTTATAATTTATATAATTGATTAAATAATTACTAAATTCCACAGATGTAAAAGTTTAATTGTTTAATAACAATATTTTACAGATTGCTGCAATATGGAAGTAGAGCATATTGGTATTATGCTCAGAATACTCGTACTACACAACATTCTGCAGAAATTTTACGAAGTTTGGAATATACTTTTAGCTCATTTAGAAAATGTACTTTCTCATTGAATGGAAGATTTTAGAGCAATTAGTATTATTATTAACGTTTTATATTCATTTTATTTTAGTACTTCGTCTTGGAAGGTGTTTGGACAGTTTATACTCTGCCTTAAAACTAATGAAATATCCAGATGTAGGCATAAGAGTTACTCTGACATTATCGAAAATTGCTAACGCTCTATTTCTGCTAGCAGACCATATAATTTGGATCGGTCGTGTGGGATTGTTACGAATTAACATAGAAAAATGGAGCAGAGTAGCTAATAAATGTTGGTTAATGAATATTATTATGAATCTTACGAGAGATATTTATGAAATTATTAGAATTTTGGAACATGAAGGAAAATATATGTCATTGAAAACACCAAAATTCTCATCTAATACATGGAAGCAATGTGAAATGCTATTTCATTTAAGAAATCACAAAGAAATAGTAATTGATACGATTAAAAATGGATGTGATTTATTTATTCCAATGACAGCATTAGGTTTCACCAAATTTTCTCCTGGAACCATAGGTATATTTGGTGTTATTTCTTCAATTGTAGGTCTTTATACGTTAATTCATCCACTGTACAAGTTAACACCATCTTAAAACCTCTGTGTATACGATATTTTTTATGTATGTGGTGTGTGTATATATATACACATACACATACATTATCAATCTTTTTAATCAGAAGTAAAACATTATATGACTAATATATGTATATATTATTAGTTAGTATTTTTATATGAGCTTTATGGTGTCTCATGCATTTTTAACATATATATTATGTATATTTTAATGTATAATACAACAATAGTACTGTGATATTCAAGTATTTGCATTATGATCTATTTTTTGGTAAATTTTTCGAGAAATTTCTAACGTGTTTAAGATAATATAAAATGTTTAATATCTAAAATCAGAGTGTTATTTTATTGTATTTTTATGACTTTTGATATCGAATATTTTTTTAATATTTTGAAATTTAGGTAAAAGATAAAAGAATTTGTTTACACTTATTTAGTTTCAAGTCATATATTTCTATGAAAATATATTTAATTATCAACAAAGTGTAAGTTTATTGTATAATATTAAACATATCTAATCGTATAAAAATTTATCGCATCTATCGGTGTGAAAAATTCTAAGCATTATTTTCTGTTAATATGGGTACAGATCCCTCTTCGATTATCAGTTCATACTTGTGAGAATAGTACACTAAAGTAATGGCCCATTTACCACAAATCATTGACCAAACTGCTGATATCGCTGTACTTTTGGCAATTGGATTAAGGGCTAAAACATTAAAATATGATATTAATATAAAAAAATGGAATATGCTGTAATATTTTTCTTGATTTTCTTGTGTTTTTTAACGAAGCTTATAGTAAAGCTATATTAAAAATAAAATATTTTTTCAATTAAAGAAGGTAAACTGGTATACTTACGAATTTTGTAGTAAAATGTGAGAAATAGGTACCAAATCATTGCAGTGATACTAGCAACAGCACTTACAAATCCGACAACATTTAGATTCCTTAGTGTAACTTTAGTGTGCCATCTTTCTAAACTTGCATTTCCTTTGATCCAATGTAAATGAAAACAAACTGCAGCTAAAATACCTGAATCATATATAAAAGAAAGTGTTTTATGTAAAACCTTGCTAGGTTTTCAATAATATTTAAATTATTGTATTTTTGTTACTAGAAAAAACAAAATATTTTCAACTTTTTATACTGTTTAGCATAAATATACATATATATAAGAGCCAAAGAATGGGCCAAAACAGTGTTTTAGCCCATTCTTTGGCGTTTTTCTTTAGTTGAATACCATAAAGACTTGTTACGCTGTTAAATGGAATGGTCTACATAATGACAGTTTCTTAGAAGAAAAGATAATGATACAATGCAATCATTTACGATGTAACTCTTTTGTGTATTATATTAAAGACAAGAGTTTAAGCGTCATTTAGTTTTCTTTTGTCCATCTGACCATAAATGAATAACATTTTTCCTTATTTCTTAAAAAGAATAAAGTTATATTTAATAAAAATTATATATCCATTTGAGATGTCTTTACTTTTTTTTAATTAATAGATTTAAAACTTGCAAAAGTTTTCAAAATTAATATATCCCAGATCAGTCGACAAGAAGATAAAATGAATATTGTAGAAAAATGGTAAAACCAAGCAAGATTAAATAACATTTAAAATTTTGTTCATGTCTAATGTACAGAAAAGTTAGATTGTAAAAGATTCTGTAACTGTATTTTGTTTATGTATTAAACAAATTTTATTATGTCGTCCATGTGCAACAATACATATAGTCTCTAGATTACCCAGAGTATTAGACTTTTAGAATTTTAAGACAAAAGATTGCTTAGATCTGCTTCTAAATAAACGAATTTAAATTAATATTTCCAGCTAATTTAATTGATTCATAAAGGTCAAATAACATTATTTCTTTTAATTGTTTAATGTCAATTGGTACAGTTACAAGTACTAAACAAAAACATCTACGACTGTTGTCCTATAGAAAGATCAAGAAAGATGTAATAGTATAATTAACGTAACATACGATAATCGTATTACGTTTATTTCGTACAAACCAGTAGACACATGACAAACGTTTTTCAAATTAGTTATCTTACATATGGTATAAGTTCAAACGCCTCGTAGTTAATACTACGATGTTCGTATTATCAGTAAATGTTACAAGATTATCGTAATCGGTAAACAAAAATATTACTATTGAATGAGAAATGCTAACCTGATAAGATCGACCAAAATCCAACGTCATGATTTTTGTACGCAATAAAAAAGACGATACACGCTGATACACCTACAATTACACCGATACCACTTATTATTAGATGTATAATATTGGTCCGCGACATTTTTGAATTTATGTCTTCACTACGCGACTCACAAGTCGACTGTACCGCGTCACAAGGAAAGTCGGTTTCTGAACGGTACGGAGGCATACTAAGAGGCATACTTACATCGCGGAAAGAAACTGATAATTAAAAGTAATTCTTTGTGGTAACTCATTGTCAGAGTTATCTGAAATATGTAAAACCATCACCCGTAATTATTTGAAATCCGTTCAAGATATACGGTCAATTTTTTTACAAATTCGAAACTGTAACAATACAGTATAAGCAGTAAGTTTACTTTGTAACAAGTGGAAAATGTGACTTGGTAACAAGTAAAACCGGCTTTACATTTTTCAATAAAATTAATAAAAACCTAACGATAAAAAGTTATTGTTTTATGCTTCGACCATATACATATATTCGTAGACACGGCCTGTAATGCGGATCTACAAATCGAAGCGAAGAAGAGAAAACGGGAAAAGATTAAAGATTTTCGTTGGGCAAGAGGAGGGGAGCTTTCACCTCGAACGCCATCTTTAGGAGCATACCATTGTAAGAGATAACGGGAAAAGATGCCCTCATGTGACGTCACAAGATAATTTTTCTAGATCATTCAAAACTGTTTTATTTTGTAACCAATAATTATAAATAACCAACTTTACTCTTGATATCTGTGTATTATTTTTACTATTTTTTAAACTAAAACAAGTTATAAAGAAATAATATTATAATTTAAATTTAACATTTAAAAATTACAATTTCCAAAATACGTTATGATAAGCATTATTTAAAATTATAAGAGTTAAAATTATACTACGCTTGAAATTGTGCGAAAGAGAAAGATATACTGTGTGAGAACTTCTCACTTGAGAAGGATAGAGAGCGCCGCCACGGGGTTATTATATTGTATTTCTTTATATAGTGTTGTCCTGTCGGACAGTTTACACTTTTCCTGAGAATACAAAATATTTTTGTTACACACTGATTCATATATTAATAAAACATAATATTTAATCTATAATTTCTTACAATTACTACTTCCAACCGCTATATTACATAACGTAACTGTTTCCATTTCTAATACTCTACCATTGTAAGCCAGCGACCTCTAATTGCTTTAGATTAAACTATTTCCTATTTTAAATTTATAACTTTACCGGGCAACTTTGTCCTATCTTTTCTTATTCGTTAATCTACACAAAAGCGTTTTTGGTTCTTTTTTGTTTACATTGTTAGATGAGATTCCTCTAAGAAGAATACGATTGCTTTATATATATCTTAAGTTTGTCTAATACTAGCAAACTATAATAGATATTTGAGTTATTTTCTTCAATTTCTTTTCCTATTTTTCCATACAAGTTCAGTCTTTCTACATCGTATAAGTAACATTCGAATATTACATGTTCTATTGTTTCCTCACCTTGTCCACATTCGAAACTTTTATCATCTACAATGCTTTTTCTACCTAGGGACTCTTTCAAATTGTAGTGATTACATCTAATCCTTGAAATCTATCTTATCGCATTTCTGCTCAAAATCCTTATAAATTTATAAAACCACGGGTAATTATGGAGAACAGGTACATCCTCACTGATTTCGATGATTTTTAAATATGTTGTAGAAATCAACATTTTGAACAACTTTTTCCTATACATATAACCGTCGCTCGACCTTAGGTTTCCGAGATATTTGCAAAATACCATTGCTACTACTACAATGAATATTGCGTATAGCTACGCGTCCGTGACAGCGTGTGTGTAAGCGTTGAGTCGTCGATTGTTTAGGCTCGGAATACACGTCCGCGTCTGTGAGTCTGTATGCGTAGCTATCATTCGCGGGTCGGCTCGTGTTTCAATCTGTTTCGAACTCATTCATACATATGAAGTAGCGCATGATCTTTATTCGTACAGTAAAAAAATGGGGGTCCGGGGGCTAGCCACTGGTCGTGAGTTTGGGGGCGAAGCCCCCAACAACGAGTACTGCAGCGCACCACGCAGGTGTGTACATGGTTAGCCTGGGGGATGTTTATAGTTAAGCGGGGAGTCGAGGGGGCGCAGCCCCCCAACATGCACATAGTTTTGAATTGAAGCTGAAAACTTTTTACAAAATTTAAAAAGCATACATTTCAAAACTATATGCATGCTAGGAGGCTGCGCCCCCTCAACCCCCTGCCTAACGGGAGGCTCCGCCCCCTCGACCCCCCGCTTAACTATAAACATCCCCCAGGCTAACCATGTACACACCTGCGTAGTGTGCTGCAGTACTCGTTGTTGGGGGCTTCGCCCCCCAAACTCACGACCGGTGGCTAGCCCCCGGACCCCCATTTTTTTACTGTACGAATAAAGATCATGCGCTACTTCATATGTATGAATGAGTTCGAAACAGATTGAAACACGAGCCGACCCGCGAATGATAGCTAACGCATACAGACTCACAGACGCGGACGTGTATTCCGAGCCTAAACAATCGACGACTCAACGCTTACACACACACTACCACAGACGCGTAGCTATACGCGATATTCATTGTATCAGCAATGATATTGTGCAAATATCTCGGAAACTAAGGCCGCGCGACGGTTAAATTTATAGGAAAAAATTATTCACAATGTTGACTTCTACAACATATTTAAAAATCATCGAAATCGGAGAGGATGTACCTGGTCTCTATAATTACCAAACCACGGTTTGTATTTACTTTTCTTTTTAAGAGTGCGCAGGACCCAGAGCCAAACTTCGAGTTGACTTCAGCGACAGTTGCGGAAAAAGTAGGAAACTCCGGGACAAGGACAGAGAGGCCAATACAACAATTGCAGGAGAGACGAGGACAAGGGGATTAGGCTTTGAAACAATAAAATGAAGATAGCAAACGTACTTTTATTGTTTATAAAGTTTTAAGGCCGAAATTGCAAAATCACGCCTTGGAGTCGCATCCGCCAAAGTGTAAGGAATATATTAAAATCAAAATTATTAGAAAATATTGCTTCCTTGTTTCAATATCCTGGAAAAAATCATGCTAGCCTAATCGCCCTGTCCTCGTCTCTCCTGCAATTATTGTATCGCCCTCTCTGCCTTCGTCCCGGAGTTTCCTACTTTTTGTACAACTGTCGCTGAAGTCAACTCGGTGTTTAGCTCTGGCTCCTGCGCAGTATCCTTCTTCGGGGAATCCCATCTAACAATGTAAATAAAATAATTTTTTGGAAAAAAAATTTTACCGACTTTAAAAAAGGTACAGTGAAAAGTATGAAATAATTTCTAGTTAATTTATATGAATACGCACTAGCTCTAGATATAATTGCTTAAAAGTATGGGAAAATGCAGTGAAAAGTATGAAATAATTTCTAGTTAATGTATATATATAAATACGCACTAGCTCTAGATATAATTGCTTAAAAGTATGGGAAAATGCAGTGAAAAGTGTGAAATAATTTTTATTTAAACTGCATTGGTATTCACCATCGTTTGATGAATTTGGTTAAATTATTAAATACATCATATTAAATGCAATGCACCTTTTTCGGAGGCGGTGCAGATGTAAAAACGTTTTAATTCCGGTTTGGGTTAGCTTTTGGTAGAGGCGGCAATATTGAATGCTGTCAATGTATACATGTTTATTGTCTATATGGAATTAATAGTTAATGTATATAGTATGTACACGGAAACATAGTTTGAGTAGATTTGGGGCTTTTTTGGAGGGGAGGGGCGGCAATATTGATTACTGCTAATGTATAAACTCTCCTCATGGAAATACTGTCTGAATAGGTTTGGGATATTATTTGGTGGGGGCGGCGATATTGAATAGTGTTAATGAATGTGATGTCTAAAGTGGATGTAATGATAGCAATAATTAAAGACCATATTTTTTGTTTCTCCGACAGAAAGTTAAACCAAGTTTGGCAATTTTGAATATACTTAATTTTAAATTTTGCGCCGCTTCCGAAAAAGGTGCATTGTATTTAATATGATGTATTTAATAATTTAACCAAATTCATCAAACGATGGTGAATAACAATGCAGTTTAAATAGAAATTATTTCACATTTTTCACTGCATTTTCCCATACTTTTAAGCAATTATATCTAGAGCTA